TCCGCCTCATCAGATAGAATGATCTCACTGACATCTTTTACTACCTTCTTCAACAAGTTCTACAACAATTTTATAACAATACGAAAAATTAAGCCATGGCCTAGGAAGGGGTGAAAATTTGAAATTTTGTTTCAGTGATTTAATTTCTAACAAAAGTGGTCAAGCTGCTAACGTAATGGGGACTAGTTACATTGAGATCTCTTTTCTCTTTTCAATAAAAATGTTCGATTGACTGCATACAGTGACCATGCAGAGGCAATCAAATCTAATCAAATTCAATCTGTAATCAATGGCTGCTTTTAATCTAACATTGAAAAATGGTGATATAATTCAAAGAAAGCACAGAAAAAGCTTGATTCACAAGAGGTAGAGAAAAATATTGTAAAGGACAGACTACACCAGGCCTAAACACATTCAGAAATTAATTTCGATAAATGAGCAAAGTCTGTTTCTGGCCAAGGGGCATTAGATGAGCTGGTACCCATTTATACACTTTGGTGGTAAGGGGAATTGTGAGAGTACCATGAACCAATGCCAATAATTAAATGTAGCAAATTGACTTGATAATTTTGTTTAAGTCCATCATATTCGTTTTGATTTTAGAAGTAATTTCTATTTACAAGGCTAAAAAGGGTTAAAAAGTAAAAAAACACCGAGCATTTTTGACACTAGGTCATCTTCTAGTGTCGAAAACGTTCGGTGTTTTTTACTTTTTAACCTTTTTTAGCCTTGCAAATAGAGATTAATTTTGTTAAAGACACCACAAAAAGATTCCTTCGCTTTAATCCCATTGCAATTTTATCTCTTCTTTTGCACAGAAAAGTAATAAACAGAATTCAAAATAACAACTGTCAATGCCTTCACTGCACATCAATAATGTTGCATTACCATAATGCTTAGAACATACAAAGTCAAGAATACAGCACACTCACACTAAGTTTGCTGATCACAGGTAGGGTTAGAACTTGTTCTTGAGTAAGAGAGTTGCTCCTCAATAAATAAACCACCACTTGACATACCAAACTACAGAACCTGACAACACTTTCAATTTTGCCTCCAAATGACACCAATCGATCTTT